TTAAGTCCTTTTTTTCACATCTGGAAAGAAAACCACAGGACATTGTGATATTTTTTGACATAGTTGTCATATTACATAAAAAAAGAAAATTAATACTTGCGTGTGAAAAATAATGCCCGGAATTTTTTTATAGAATCTATTTGTGCATCCGTATGCAATACAAGCTGACATGCTTCAAAAAGAAAAGAAAAAATGTTGCAATGACAGCCTTCCTTGCACAAGTCACGGTGATAACAGGAAGATGGCCGCCAAGCTTCACCGTTTGAGTTGAACCTTCCCTCCTTCTATTCTAACCTCCTTGGGTAAAACGTTACTTAAAGGGTTAAAGTTTACAGTTTTGCTACTGTTGAGTAGATCGTCGGGCTATCGATATATATCGTAAGTCGGAAAGCGTTGTAAACATATCAAAACCAAAACATTAAAAATACAATTTAAATGAAAAATGATGTCTTAAATATAATTCACAATTAAAACAACAATACAAATTTAAAATACACAAACGATATGTTAAACATTGCACATAAATAAAGTATATACATTACTGCTCGGCATCACACACAACGTCGGTTAACCTTTTTACACAACGATCAGTATTCGCTCGAAAAACATCAAAGAATTCCACAAACTCGGTGTCCATGTGTTCATTTATCTATTTTCACTTAAAGAAAAATCAGAGAATTGCTCAAACTCGGCATTGCGCACCACATCGGCTTCGCCCATGTGCACATCGATCTATTTTCACTTAAAAAAATATCCCAGAGTTGCGCAACCTTGGCATTGCGCACCACATTGGTTTTGCCCAATAGCACATCGATCTCGTTTCACTTAAAAAAACATCCGAGAATTGCACAACCTCGGCATTGTGCACCACATTGGCTTTGCCCATGTGCACATCGATCTATTTTCACTTAAAAAACAACCCAGAGTTGCACAAACTTGGCATTGCGCACCACATTGGCTTCGCCCATGTGAACATCGATCTTTTTTCACTTAAAAATCATCTCAGAATTGCACAACATCGGCATTGTGCACCACATTGGCTTTGCCCATGTGCACATCGATCTATTTTCACTTTAAAAAACCCAGAGTTGCACAAACTCGGCATCGCGCACAACCTCGGCATTGCGCACCACATTGGCTTTGCCCATGTGCACATCGATCTATTTTCACTTAAAAAAATCCCAGAATTGCACAAACTCGGCATTGCGCACCACATTGGCTTTGCCCATGTGCACATCGATCTATTTTCACTTAAAAAAAATCCCAGAATTGCACAAACTCGGCATCGCGCACAACCTCGGCATTGCGCACCACATTGGCTTTGCCCATGTGCACATCGATCTATTTTACTTAAAAAAATCAGACATTGAATAAATTCTCCATTGCTTATATACTCAGAAATCTGCTTTCACTTAAAGAAATCAGAGAATTGCAGAAACTCGCGCGGAACCAACTCCATTGATTCGAGTTGCAAAAAAATGTGTCCAGAAAAATGATACAAAACAAAAATAAAGCTGCCAGAATAAAGCAACTACCGAACATCCAAACTGCCATATTAGAAAAGCACCCAATATTTTACTTAAGTCAATAATAATAAATGAAACTTACCTTCAGTCCTCTCCTTTTGCAGAATATATGGCTGTGATCTCACTGAGAAATATATGCATCAGTTGGCTGGCGTCGGATTTCTTGTGTTTCCTTCTCCAAATATATTCCGCAAGATAGGAATCAAACTGTCCTTTTGCCTTACTAGAGCCACGGAAACTTCTTTTGATTGCTGCCCAAGTTCCCTCAATACTATTGGTATGCGCACCTGTTTCTGGATCTTTAAAACGCAAGCTATGATTGACTTTCAGGTGCGCATACCCTTCGAACTCGAGACAGTCGTACGCTTTCCAACAATCCGATATAACAATCGATCCTGGTAGAACATTCTCTTTAATGATTTCTAGCAATGTTTCGGCACCTCTGTTTTCAACAACTCTAAAGACGCATTCATTCGTCCATCTCTCAACCAAACCAAAAACCCATTTTCCTTCGACTCTTTTCCCTCTATGATACTTTTGCTTGCCAAACTTGCTTTCGTCGATTTCGACAATGACACCTTCCCCACCCAACATCACATTCTCCTTCAGGCATAACTCCATGCATACTTCCCTACAAAAACTTTTCCAATCTGTCACCGTATTTTTAGCAATACGTAATTCCGTTCGTATAAAATCATTCCCGCACTTACCCAACCATCACACATGCTCAATTTCCTCTTCGCAAACCAGGAGTTTTTTTCGAACACACTTTGAAATTCGATGCCTACATTCGCCTCCAGTAACTCTGCACATCCACTCAAAACCGTCTATACGGTTTTTTCGCTCTACTAGTTTCATATTTGTTCCACAAATTGGGCACTTATACGATATTGCAATCAAACCTTTCTCCATACACCACTCAATAACGCTTTTTTATCTCTTCGCTCCAACTGATAAAAAAATCCAGATTCAGATACTCATCCATTCTGCAGTAAGCACCGAATTAGACACACTCATCAATAATCAAAACATTCTTTAAGCAAAAGAATTCTTTTCTGTATTTTCAGAAGTTACGGTTATAATTTTTAATTCATGCATTCAATATTTTCAATCGTTTGGTATCTTAATAATACATTTGTGAGAGATAATTCGTTGCGTTAAATGCTAACACTACCACACAACAAGCAAAAGTACATTTATAATTAAAAAAATCTCGCACAAAACATTATAAACCTACCATTTCAATTCAGTTAAAATATAATTTAAGTTTTCCTTAAATACATTCCATTCCATTAACCGCTATTATACTGGACCTAGCATGCCTGGAATTGTGGCTTTTTGCCAGTTGTCATCCTTTATGGGGACCTGGAAGTAAAAGAGTCGTAAAACATGTCACAGTGACAAGATGTGAAAAATTTAAAAAGAGAGGTGGCACTTTGCCACTGTAAAAGAAAATGTCATCGTGGGGTGGTGTAACTTCAGATACAAGTATATTCAGGAAAATGCAATAATTGAATTCAAAATAAAAAACATGATGCAACAGTAAAAAGTCCGCTTAACGGGTCTTGAAGCTAATGATTGACTTTCAAAGTAGCGCATTACCCTTCGAGCTCGATACAAGTCGTAACGCTTTCCAATAATCCGAATAGTTCAACATGTGCGGCCCTGGTCATGGGTTGTCCAGGAGTTCCTGCCATGTCTTTTTCCCCCATTTTCCAGGCTGAAAAATGGGGGTGGAAATGTCAAATTTGACGTCTCTGGGGTTTTAACCACTTATCTCTTTCAAAGATCTTCCTTTTGCGACATAGATGCACCCATTAAACTACACACAGGAATCTTTGTTGCAAATAGCAGGTGTTTTCTTAAAGGGGGGAAAGCATTCGGTTCAAGATTCCAATCTTTAAATACGAAGCTATAGCATACTTATAACTTGTTTTTAAAAGAGGCGTAACAAATATTACGTCATAAAAAGACGTGTCCAAGCATAACAGAAGTAAACACAGCATCGACTGATGCAGCCTATTCTGCGATTTAGCCCAAATTCAAAATTCGGCCGTCCAGATGCTCATGTTCGGGTGGAGGATTACATTATTCAAAATTTGATGGCCCTAGATACTGTCGTTTTTGTCACAGTGCGAGAAACATACATATATTCATACAGATTCTTCAGTATTTAATTTCTTTACATATAATATAGGACGATAATATTTGGTAACACCAATTTGCAAGGAGATACGGACATTTATACTAAAACAGCGCAAAATGCCGCTTCGAAACTAGCAGCCTTTCTAGGCTACCGCCCCTTTGGGCTAATAAATTAAATTAACAGTAAATAAAAAAAATCTTATGCAGAACTAAAAATAAATTTAAAAATTAATCACCATAAAATACAAGCAAAATTAATTATTACGGTTAAATACAATTTTAATATTACAATTAAATGTATAAAAACTATTAAGGAGTCAAAAGTGTTTATCACTATGGTGTATCATGAAATATAATTAAAATAAAATTCCTTAATAGAAATTGTGCTATAATATTCATCTATAATTTTAAAAAAGCAGCACAATTTAGAATTTTAAACAAATCTTTAAAAAAATTCGTTTTAAATATTTTAGTATTTTTTACTTATTTACACCAATAAAAAGCATAAAAATTGCAAGAGAAAATTGCTTGTTTGAAATTTTTTATTAGTTCAGATTTAAAATATATATTTCTAAAATAAATAGTTACAAATTTCCTTACAGCATAGGAAAAGCTAAAAAATATCCAGCCTGAAAGCATGCTTTATAATTATTTGAAACGTTAATTATGCTTGATAAATATGCTAAATTTTTAAAAATCAATCTCAATTTCAAAAATAGAAATATGTAGAAATTCTAATTTGTGAAATGAGGCGCTTTTTCTTGACAATTATCTACGCTGCAATAGGCAACCAATGTTAAATTTCTGCAAGTCGTCCCTACTCCTCCGGATGTGATCAAGGTGACAGCCGGCAACGCATCAGACGAGGGAGAAAACCCGTTTGGGTTAGTCTGTTTCTTATAAGGTCCATGGTTATAACTGAATTCCGTCATCTACATCTTTAGAACAATAATCTCTTTCGTTGCCATTCAGTAACAAGTAATTTTCCAGCAGTTCTAATTCATGTATTTACTGCAAAATATATTGAAGATTAAAGGTAGCATGAAGCTATGAAATGCTGAATTTTTTTGGGGGGGGGGTCGAGAAATTACTTATTCCATTTTAATCTTGTACTGTAATCTAATATTACTGTTATTTAGCTTCAAAAAATAATATAATTTTCGCTACATTCTTTATGAGAATGTTTGAAAGCAATCTGCTTAGTATACTTCGTTTATGTTTAATTTTTTTTCTTTATTTTAGCACTGTAATCTAAGAATATCTTTAAAATATTTTTTTTTATAAAATATGCATCAATGCTGTTCTGGCCGTATCAAATTGTTACAGCAGCGCCCTCATTGTTTTTCTTTACGTTTGGTGTTTTCATTCTGGAAAATGAAAAAAGTCGTTTATTTTTTAAGATAAAAAAACACGTATTTCACTGTAACTGTAATATTCTAAATGTCAGTATTTTAAATTTAACTAATTTAAATCTTTAACAAAGTAAATTGTGCATCATTTATTCTTGTAATGGCGGAAAGAGCTCAAAGGCAAGTGAAGAAAAATCAGGATTTGCAACGCATTTTAAATCAACAGAGGGAAAGAACACAAATGCGACAGGTTATTTCTTTAAATTTTTATTTTGTGATTATTTTATTTTGTAAAATGAAAGTAACTGTCTGTTGACCATTTTTTGGTGCGATATATGTTTTATAAAGACTTTATTGTTCAAATGTCAAAACTATGAATTATAACTTTGATCTTTTAAAAACTTTGAAAGTTTATTCAAATCGTGAAGCTTGGGAAAAATTCTTTAAAAGAAAACTTAAATTTGGGAAAAATAATGATAGGTGAATTATAATTGGTCTTATAATTATCTACTAATAACCAGTACTAAGTAAACTGAAACTGAAAGTACATTATATGAAAATATATGGCTTGTGTTATTTATGTTTTTTGTTATTATGAGTGCCCATCTGCACTTTTCTGTTGCCACAATATGTGTAAACGCAGAGAGATCTGTATTCTGAATCAATACTCCATACTTTTTTATTTCTAGATAAGGAAAATCTTAAAAAAGCCATATTCAGACAGAACGGAAGAAGAATTAAAAATTTTAGATAGCGTACCTGACTTAGTCCATCAGATACAGAATAGTATTCAGAAACATAAGTGTTTAAAAGAAAGAACTAAAGAGGTAAATTTATCCTGTTAAGTGTTTCTGCAAGAATTAATTTTTCTCTGTATAAAGTATTATTTTAATTTATTTTTTGAAACTTTTTAAATATTTGGTACTTTTCGATTATGCACGTGCCATGTTTTTTGGCCCCTTTGAAAGAGAAACCAAACACATGCTGAGAGCTAATGATAGCACAGTCTGAGGATTCTGTGTGTATATGTGTGCAAATATAAACAAAAATAATTAAACACATACACATATGTATTTTTACAATAGTGCCACAAAAATGTATGGCTGATGCACACTGGAAAAGTACCAAATATTTTGATTTAAAATGTGTTATGTAAGCAGCTGTTTATTTAAAAATAGTTTTGAGAAGTTGTTTTTAGTACTTAGTATCGATGTTATTTGGAATGCAGATTCAGGTATAAATGGGATTTCAAATATAAATTTTAATAAATGTCCTGTTAAAAAGTCAGATAATCTACATGCACACAAAAAATATACAACTCATTGCTGACTTTATAAAGAGGCTAAAACATTTGTTTGGTTTTCTTATATGTACTATTTTATTTATATTAGTAAAAGAAAAAAAAAAAAAGTTATGAGGAAAAAAGTAAAAATCTATATAGACAATATTTATGTTTTTACAGCTGATACATACTATATAAGGCATATATATATACAATATAAGGCATATAAATTGACATACATAGGGATTGATTTGGTTAATCTTTGGATTATAGTAACTAGGCGATTTTTTGGCGACCAACCCTGCTACAGCAACCTGCTAGTTTTTGTTTGGACGCCATTTTGTTTTCACGAAGTAAAGGCATGTTTTTTTTTAATCAACATTTCCAACATTTTTTCCCAATAATCTGCTAGCTGAATTACGCTTATGCTAGAACTTTTATGGAACAAAAGTGCTTAATCATGACGAAAATTAGGTGCGAAATTGGGAGAAAGTGCAGAATCGCCCACTGCTTGCCGCGTTTTTACAAATTGCACATACACGGTATCATCCATGTACACGTCAACCTATTTTCACTTAAAAAAAATCCCAGAATTGCACAAAAATTGCATTGCGCACACTCTTGACTATATCCATGTAAACTGCTAAAGTCCGAGCTAGTAACCTTTATCGCCTTACCAAAATGTCGCCAAACCACCTGTTACCATATTCCAAAGATTAGCCATTGATTTTATTAGACTTGGAAATCTGTACAAATTGCGGCAGCTGTACCTTATATTGAAACTGAAGGTGTTGATAATCAGAAAGTACTAAAAAAAAATATTATTTTATTATCAGTGTAACCACTTTGCTGTAGTAATTTTTTGCAGAAGGAAAAGGTAATGCAAGGATATTTGGATTAGGACAGATTACTTAAGGGCTTTATGCCTAAGGGAAGGACGTCTGTGGAAGAAAATTTTTGAGTGAAATGTTTTATCAATGTTACCAGTGGAGAAAACCATACAACCATTGAACCCTGGTTGAACTACTAGTGTTCAGTAATCTTGCCTCTCAGCCACTGGTGGGCACTAAAAGAAAAACTTACAATTGCAAAAAAAATTTTCATTACACACATACATATTGTTATTATTATGCATAATATTATTTGGGTAAAAGTACATTTACTGGTGCCCTTTGGCAATGTTTGGTAGTACATGGATACTGAGTTTGTGCAATTCGTTGACTTGATGGCACAAAAATTGCCTCTACACAAATCCAAAATGACAAGTCAAATAATTGCATAAACTGAAGAATAAAATGACGTCTTCTATATACATGACAAACATATATTTAAACTATGAAGACGTTGAACAGCAGAGTAGAAACATGATATTACACAGCGCTTTGCACTTCTCTCTTACATGCAATACTCACCATTGACTTTTGGCTAGCTGCATATTAACTAAGAATAAGTATTATGCAGCAGAGAACTTGCTTATCATGCGCATGCGCTAGGGGAATCAACGGCAGGGTTTCCAACATACCAACCGTCTTTAGGGCGTTGCCAACATTCTCCTATTCCTGAAAAGTAAAACAAAATACATGTTAAACAGTATTCAATCCTATAATTGTACAACAGTTTTGATGTTTAACGGGAGTCAGGGGTTTGGTTAACACATCAGCTCCCATTTCACTGGTAGGTATGTACTGTACATCTAATTCACCGTGTCCATATACATATGCACAAAATGATGTCGAATGTCTATGTGCTTTGTACGGAAGTGAAACACCGAGTTCTTCGTAATTTTCTGAGCTCCTTGATTGTTGCAGTATATTGTTGTTGGGTGTTCTATGTTATAACCCAGCTCCTTCAGGAAACGACGTAGGTAGACGGTTTCTTTGGAGGCCTCAGACAAAGCCATATATTCCGCCTCCGTTGAAGATAGAGCTACACTGCGTTGTTTTCGTGATTCCCAGGTTATTGCTGAACCACTTAATATATATACAAAAATGGTGTAGGATTTTCTATCATCGACATTGGACGTCCAATCTGCATCCACAAAGGCGATGAGTGGTTTTCCTGTTTTAGTATAAATTAGTCCTTGATCTGGTGTTCCCTTTAGATATTGAAGTATTCTTTTCACAGCATGCCAATGTTCTTTTCCAGGATTGTTGTTAAATTGACTTAAGAAATTCACGGCGTATGTGATATCTGGCCTAGTAGCTACTGAAAGGTACATTAGCGATCCGATCAGATTTCTAAATGGAACATTTTTCATGTCAGTGATTTCGTTTTCATTTTTAGGACTCATCTCTTTTGATAATTTTTTGCTGTTATCTATAGGTGAAGACACGGATTTAGCATTTTGCATACTATACCGATTTAAAATATCATCAACGTATTTCTTTTGAGAAATTTTAATTGAATTCTCATTTTGGTAAAATTCTATGCCTAAACAATAATGTAATTTTCCCGAGTCTTTCATTTTGAAAGCAGAAGCTAAACTATCGTGAATTGTTTCATATGTTTGCTTAGAATCGGTAAAAACGATAAGATCGTCTACATAAACGATTATAATAGTTTCACTGTTAGACGTCTTTTTAATATAAATGCAATTATCTGAATTAAGAGATTTAAATTTTATAGATTTTAATTTTTCATCCAACTTTTTGTACCACTGACGTCCTGACTGTTTAAGACCGTAAAATGATCTCTTTAAAAGACATACTTTATCTGAATTGGTTTCATTGCGAAATCCTTCGGGAATTTCCATGTAGATTTCTTCATCTAAATTTCCATTTACATAGGCCATTACAAAATTTAATTGGTAACCTTTGAGATTCTGTTCTACAGCGTAGGCTAAAACTGTTCTTATGGAACTTAATCTAGCAACAGGGGAAAAGTTTTCAGCGAAATCGAGACCAGGGATTTGAGCGCACCCTTTAGCAACTAGCCTAGCTTTGTATTTTTCGATAGTGCCGTCGTGATTATATTTTAATTTAAGAACCCATTTACTACCATTAACTTTCTTGTTTTCAGGTCTTTTTACTAATTCCCAAGCCTTTTCCTGAACAAGCGAGTTATATTCTAACAGCATGGCATTATGCCAATTTTCAGCATATGCATGTCCATTTAATGCTTCTTGCACCGTAGGATTAATGCTTTCCTCAAACAACATTTTGAGTTTGTTCATTTTATTTACAACTGTATAGTGATATTCCTTTTTAGGCCTTCCTGGCAAACCTGTTTTTACTTTCTTGGGTCGATCAGGCCCCCTTTTAATCAGGATAGGAAGCATTGATTCGCTATCTAAATCACTTCCGCTTTCCTTTTCAGCTTCAGAGTCAAGTGGCGACTCGCTACCGTCCAGAGTGATGATTCATCAGAACATGTTTTATTTGTAATTTTTTCCTCCGGAGCGAAAGGCAGATTTATTTCTTGCTCTGAGTCATAACTACAGCAGTTTTCAAACTCGTTAATAAATTTTACGTCTCTGCTTATTATCACTTTACGTGCCTCGGGCTCCCAAAGTCTATACGCTTTTGATTCATCAGAATAGCCAATAAAAATACATTCTTTAGATCGAATATCAAATTTGCCTATTCCTGGCCTTTTGTTTAGCGAAAATGCTTTTTGGCCAAAGGTTCTGAAGTGAGAGACAGCTGGTACTCTGCCAAACATCACTTCGTAAGGTGTTTTTATTTCGTTTAAACCTAGCGTTGGGCAGCAATTTCGAATGTAAGCAGCCGTATTGACGGCTTCAGCCCAGAATTTCTGAGGCAGATTGGATTGCAATAACAAACATCGCGCCATTGAAACTAAAGTGCGATTTAATCTTTCCACGACGCCATTCTGGGCTGGCGTGTAAGGAGTACTCATTTCGTGTTTTATTCCTGCATTATTAAGAAATTTATTAAAGTCTTTCCCTAAATATTCTAACCCGTTATCGGTTCGCTGTATTCTTATTTTAGAGTTAAGTTTATTTTCAAAAGATGCTTTAAAATTTCTGAAGGCTTCTTTAACCACATCCTTAGATTTCAGAAAATAAACACAAACATATTGAGATTTATCATCGATAAATGTTGCGAAATAAAATGATCCACCTATTGATTCGGTTCTCATGGGACCACACAAATCAGAATGAATTAGATTTAACAATTCAGTACTTCTACGAGTATATTCAGATTCTTCGGGAAGGGTGCGGTTTGTTTACCCTGAATGCATACCTTAAAAGTAGAAAGAGAGTCATTTTGAGAAAAAGAAAGACCTCTAACCATGTTATTTATTTGAAGTTTTTTAAGATCATTTTCATTTAAATGGCCAAATCTTATATGCCACTGATCTATTTCTTTAGCAATTGATACAGATTCAAATATTGGCATGACAAAATAAAGTTCATTTTCGCGTTTAGCTAAAATTACTGTTTCGTTATTAGAATTAATTATTTGAGCACATTTTTTTTTTTGAAAATTACTGAAAGATTATTTTCAGTTACTTTAGACACTGAGATTAATTTATTTTTCAAATCAGGTACACACAATACATTTTTCAGTTTGATATTTTCAGTTTTAGAACCTATGCAAACTTTAAATTTCACAGTTCCTTTTCCAGTAGCTTAGCTTCCTTTTCCAAAGCTGATGACTGATCTCAATGCTACAGAAACAAACATTAATGACTGCTGCTCATCTGCTATGTGCACTTGCACATACTGGGTTGCCACATAAATACATTTTGCTGATATAATGAGTTGTCTTTTTTGGTTACCTAGCTCGTTACCTCATGAAAATTTTTTATGGGTAGGGGTATATTCAGAAAGTATCAACCATTGGAATTTGGAATAGAGTGAAAAGAATGCATGTGAAAATGGCAATTCTCTTTAGCATTAATATACTTATGGTTTCTAGGGTTTGACATAGTAATTGTCTGGCAATTTCATTTAAGTAGTTGCACTAATTTGTGAGTACCAAGTTTTTATAGCCATAAATGTCATAAGAGAAAACCACCAAGGGACCATATAAATTATCATTTAAGTATGCTTAATATGTAAAAAATAGTTCATCAGCTAGGCAAAGCAACAATTTTGACATAAGTTTTAATCAAAATATTGATTTAAAGAGCAAACATGTATAAGTCTTTCTTCATCAGGAGTAAAGATATTCTGCAACAAATGAAGGAGCCACAGCCTTATTATATCAAAAGCAAAGCTAATGAGAGGTTAGTAACATATGTCCACATTCAGCGAAGGGGGCAGCCACAGGTGCATATTTATACCAAAAAACAAAGTAAAGCCAACAAGAAGGAACAGTTCTGTGGACAGATAGCGCTACCTTCTCATTCACTGTGCTTTGCTTTTGGTATAAATACAGCTTTGGCTGCTCAGAATTTCTTTGCTCCTGATGAAGAGGAACTGTAACAGTTCATGATCAAAGTCTTGTTTAAAATTTTCTCCAAACACAAGGTTGCTGCTTTGCCAAATTATATGTTGGCAAAGCATGTTTCTCTTCTCTGCAGTTTTGATTGCACTGAAGCAGCTAATGGAATCAATAATACTGATGTATTTGTATTCAATTGCTGTTAATTATTTTAATCCTATGACATCAGAAATTAAGTATAGTTTATTTTGTGTAAGATTTCAGTGTCAAGGGTTAAATTTATCAATTCTAACGAGAATATACTAGCGAAGTAAAAAGCACTGTGGTTTTACACATAATTTCTGAGGAAGCTATTAGTAGGAATTAAAATATTTCTTGCATTTAAACTTGTATTCCAAATTAAGCTTTAACTTGAAATTAGCGTAGATAATTACTGAAAGAATTAGATTTTAGTAGTGTAGTTTACATGAGATGAGATCACTTGGGGTCATGTGATATGAACTGGCGAATCAGGATGTTGAACCATAAAAGCATAGTAAATTCTTAAATTAATGTCTTTTTACAAATTTATTATCTTTATTTATTGGATTTTTACAAAATTTTAAACGCTGTTAAAATGTTTATGCCTTTAGAATAAAAAATTCTTAAAACTAACCTTTGTTAACATTTTTTATGCGTATACTGTATGTTGTCGCCAATAAAGTCTGCTTGGCAAGATTTGTGCCGGCAAAGCAGAAAAGTACAAAAAATTCTAAATCTCTTCCTCCCCACTAATCACTTAAATTAGTTTTATGTGTAGTTAATGATTTGTTTCATGGAAGGAAGAAATTTTGTTCCTGCATGTTATTCAAAATTGTGCCATTCAAAAATTATCCCATTTATCAATTAATTCTATTTCTGTGCCATTCAAAAATTATCCCATTTATCAATTAATTCTATTTCAAATATACATCTCAACAAGCTAGTGTTTAACGTATTATTTTATTTTAGATACAAGATGATCCAGAAACATTGGCCTCTAAATGTGCACAACTGTCACAAGCATTAAAGGAATCGTCATTTACTGTTGTGTATACAGGTGCCGGTATAAGTACAGTAAGTAATTACTTGAAATATTTATATGAAAATTAACAATTTTGATGATTTGGGTAACATTCGGTGAATTACAGATTATTCTTATTTTGACATTTCATTTATAGACATCGTAAATGTAGGTAATAAACTTGAAATAATTACATTTGTTAACATATTAAGCATAGTATGATATTGCCAAATCGTAATGTCTTCAAAAAAATAAGGAAACAGTAATTTTAGATTGCAGCATCTATTAGTTAAGTATATGCTAAATGTTGCTTAACTGCTTTATGGAATGCTAGTCCAAGTGCATATTCAGACTTGCTTGATTCAATGCTAAGATGAATATGAACTTCATATTGTGGTTTATGACAGCTTCACCAAGTACTGATTTTTGGCATTTAATCTTATATTGCTCTGCAATTTTGTTTCATTGTATCACTGCATACTGTTATGGAATGATTTCCATTCACTTCTGTTGATTTCTTCATAGTCTTGCGATTTTCAAAAAATGGGTCTGTACATTTTGCTTCACTAGTGGAACTCAAAATAGTGAGTGCATCTCAATTATAACAGATTTTTATTCCATGGTTTTCGTAATTTTTATTATGGAGTTACAATTACCCTTGGTTTTGATTATTTATTTAATTTACTTTTATTTATTTATTTATTTATTTATTTATTTATTTTGTGTGTATGTGCATGCATATGAATGAGAGAGATAGCTAATTCATTGCTAAAAATGCATTCCATGAGTTAATTGTTCAAATTGCTTTCTTGAACTATTGCTGTAGATTCCTTATTTCAGTACCTGCTGACTAAATATATACAGATGCTCCCTACTTTTCAAATTTTCGCTTTAAAAACTTTTGCAGATATGAGCAAACTTGTTCTCAAAGAAGGTACCAAAGTATGTACTGTATAATCAAGTAATTCTGTAGTTATTTATAACTTAAAGTATTTTGTATTTGTAACTTCTATATTTATTCATAACTTATTTATAAAATACTGTGTTTAAAATATGTTAATTTGTTTTAGTATTTTAATTGTTTATTTAATAGTATTTATAGTTATCTCACAAATATCATTAGGAGATATGCATAGCAAAACTAGCATTATTTTACTGAAAACTCACGGCACAAATGGTCATTCAAAGTGGTAACTGGGAATTTTCGTAAGGTGGGGAGCATCTTTATTTCAGAACACATGCCCATATAATCCAAAATTTAAGAAGTTGCATAACCTTTGATTAAAGTAATCTTAGACATATCTTTTTCCATGTCAGTACTGAATTTGGTACATAATATTTTATTATGTGACTTACGTATTTATGGTTTATGTATAAGGTATTTCTCCCACCTTCTTAGCATGCCTTCATGGTGTGGTGGTATGCACGCTGGACGCATATTCCGGAGTTCCGCGGTTCGATTCCCGGTGAAAAGGCGTTGCTAATTTTTCATCTTGCCTGCTTCCAAAAAAATACCGAATGTCTCTCTCTACTTATGTTGTATAGTATGAGTCAGTACTAAATTTATTATGATTGTTGATCAACAGTGCAGCCAAGCCTCTCACCCATTACCTCTAAAATATCTCAACAATTTTTTTCATATAATTTACTTTTTCATAACGTACTCTGCTTTATGTTTCAGTTCAAAGATTTTACTTTCATATTATTATTGGGGAAAAGCATTTAGTTACCAATACATATACATCCAGTAGGTTTCCTATGATTTAAAAGTATGCTATCAAATAATGCTGTAAGAACTTACTATCTCGAGATATTGTTTTTTTTTTTTTCTTTGCATTCCTTATTTTTGAACACCCGAACTATTCCATTCAGTGTAATATAGGTTCAGATCAGTGTAATATAGGTTTAGAATTTCAAACATGCAAGTTTAAGGCAGATTTTTTTAAGTTTTCCTTTTTGTTTAGATTTGAATCTAGTAAGAAAATGTTGGTGGAGTTATATTTCTCTAAGCATTTAATGCCTGATTTAATTCTAAATAATTTTCTCACTTGAGCATAAAAAGATAATTAAGCGATCACCTGCTGAAGTATATGCGGATGAATTCAATGAATGTATTAATAGTGAAAAGTTATCTCCAGAACAAATTTACAATGCTGATGAAGCTGGTCTTTTCTGGCAGTATGTACCACAAAATACCTTGGCAACCTCTGCTGAAAAAGCTCCAAATGGTGTCAAAGATTCCAAAGTGAAACTAACAATTTTAGCATGCACAAATGCTGCGGGAACGCACAAGTATAAACTTTTCATAATCGGAAAATATACATGAGCTTGAGCATTTAAAGGCGTAAAGAATTTTCCTGTTATATATTGTGAAGATAAAAGAGCATGAATGACACAAGCGTTAATGAATGACTAGTTTAAAAATAATTTTGTATTCAAGGGCTCGGCAACATTGGAATTTGGCTGGTTTACGTAATGACGAAAAATTTTCCTGTTTGTAGACAACTGTTCAGCTAAAACTTCATTTAAAGTTTTAATGAAAGATAATTTATCCATATTATTCTTTTCTGCAAACTGTGCATCCATCATTCAGCCTATGACTATCATAATAGTGCATGCATTAAAATGCAAATATAAAGTAATATTTTTAAATTTGAATCATGGCAAGACTGTTCAAGAATTTTTGAAATATTTTAGCATGAAATCTGATGTGTGGAACATCTGAAAATCACGAGAGGATGTGTCTCGAGATACTTTAAAAAATGTCGGGCATAATTTATGGCTAGCTATTATATTTTATGGTGAGGATGGTTAAAATGATAGCCACGAATTTGAAGATATCGCAAATATCGCATTTTTCAGATATCGCAAACCAAAGGTGAAATGTTCTAATTAATGCATTTTGTAATGAAATGTGGAGAAGCAGTAATAAATGAAGATGATATAACAGAAGTTTTTCATTGCGATGACAGTGCCCTAATCATCAATCAACGGATGGCAAAATCTATAGTATGAATCTAGATCCAGAAAATACTGCTAATGATAGTGAAGAAAATGACAGAGAAGGTATTGAAAATGAATAAATTTCAATTGACAAGTTAGTTGGAATTCTCAACACAGCAATTACAGGACTTGAATAAAATAGAACTTTGACACTTAACAAAAAAATTATGTCTGTCTATAGAATTAAAGAGCATTAGCACAAAAAATGAAGCAACTTAAACAACTTACATTGAAAGAAATGTTTAATAAAATAAACAAATAAATATTAAGCTCTCTTTAGTTCAAAGAGGCTTTGTCCCTGAGGGACTATTGCTTTCATTTTGCGAATCACTCTGAATGTCCGTTTCACTTTTAAAATTTTTGCCAGCAAATATTATCACCCTATATTATAATTGAAGAAATTAAATAATGGAGAATCTGCATAAATCTATGTTTCTCGCATTGTGATAAAACAACAATACCTAGAGCCATCAAATATTGAATGGCGTAATCCTACTGCGAATATGAGCATCTGGAAGTCCAAATTTGGAATTTGTTTTATTATCTATCGAGTAACGGATTTTTGAATAACAAACTCAAGGATTTCAAAGCGAGCAATGGCAATGTTGTACAGAAAAAACATTTTTATCTCCAGCGCATGAGACTGTATATCGGAAATTCTAAAGATATGCTTAGTTTAAAATTATTTTGCGATATTGTTCTTGAACTGAATTTTTATTGTTCAAGTGTGAAGAACATGATATTTAATAAATAAAGGTAACACACAAAATGTAAAAAAAAAAAAAAAAAAAAGCCCCTTTGAACGTGATTTAAAATCTGAAACATTTCAGAATTTTTTGGTTAATTTTGACACCCTTTAGATCATTAGTGCTTCATTATTGCATAAATCATAATTTATTATTTTTCATTTAAAATTTCTACATGCTATCTTACTAGGTCTACACTGATCTAATATCTGGAATCACCAAAGTCTGGATCGTGGACTTTGTACTGTATTTACATTTGTATTATTAAAGAAATTAAGATATAATTCTGTGTTAAAACTGGAATGTCCAAAAATGAAGTGAATTTTTACTTATTTAATTAATTTAACAGCTTAACAATAAAATGTTTTTATTCACTTTATTTTTTCCCAAAGTTGTTAGTGATCAAGATAACAGCTCAGTTTTTACTCCATATTTAAATTTAAGTTTCATATATTTTTTTTTTTTTTTTTTTAATTTATTGATTTTATTTTGAAGAGCTTGTTACGTGTCTGCTAAAAGGTAAAATATGTTTTTAAATTTTTAATGTAAATTATGAAAAAAAGTTTTCCTCTATAAGCTAAATTTTATGGAAGACACTTAGCAATTTTTTAAAATTTTCTTGTTAAAACTCTTTTATCTTTAATTACCTTGCAAATAAAGAGCATGGGAAATTATTGAGAAAACAAAATTATTCAGCTTAAAGAAATTTGAGTTTTCTGAGCTCACGTAATTTTTTGAAATTTAATTTATGTTAAATATTCTGTGTAGATTTAGATATAATGTGAGCAGGTAAGTAGACATTCTGTATTAAAGACATTTTATGTAAGTTAACATTAGATGTATTATTTGAATATGCTTCATTTAATTCATTTAAAGATTACAGAGTAGTTTAACTGTTTATAAGTTATTTCTAAATTTAGCTGAATTGTGTTTTTTCTCCCCTTCCTCTTATTAGTCAGCTCAAATTCCTGATTATAGAGGACCAGATGGAATATGGACATTATTGCAACAAGGGAAGGAAATAAAGTATGTAGATTTTTATAAAAGAATTTTTACAAACATGTTTTCTGTAAAACTGTTAGAGTGCTGCAGAACACTCTTTTTTAAGTAGACTGTGAATGAAATTAATGGTAATTTCATTACCTTGTAAAATTTTAGTAAGAAGAATATTTTTTTGCTATTAGTGTTCAATTTCTGTGCATACTTTTTTTTTTTTTTCTTTTTTTTTTCCCCTTCTTTCTTTATAGTTGGTAATTTGATAAAAAAATTGTATTTGCTATAACTTGTTTAGAGATGCTGGTATACCAATTTATAATTTTACAAAAATTGAATTCTCTTCGTTTATCAAAGTCGTATTTCTTTAAGATTATAAATGCTAAGATCTAAATAATCTACAATTAACATTTTTATAGGTCTTGTTAAATTTTAAACAGTTGGGGTAGATATATGTAATGATATGCGCACAAGGAAAACACGGAGCAGTGTCGATGCTTGCTTAAATACGTATTGAAGAAGAATTTGGATTGCATAGTATGCTAATAATGTTAACTTTGTAATATCTAAAGAACTTGGCAGTTGAGGCAGTTTTAATTCCATTTTTATTTCCAATTGATATTTGTGGCCACAATCACTTGGCCCTCTAGTCGTGCCCTCCACAGAAGATTTACATTTTTGATATTATTGAGATAGAAAGCAAGCCAGCGAAATTACACCTTAGCACAGTAGAGAGCAAAGCTGAAGTGCAAGATGGAAGCACACGAAGAGAAACGTTTTGGTTTGCAATTTGGTGATTGGTCAAGAGGCATCTGCATTAATTGTTACATAAGATCGCATGATTAATTTGAATGACACAGTTTAAACTTAAGCTCTATTTTTAGAATGGATAGATTGCACATTTTCCCCTTTCAAAAAGAAAAAGGCGAAGCGATAGAGAAGCCCTTTTTAGAGAAAAAGCATTAGAGTAGCAAAAATATGAGAAATATAATTTTGAAATTTACAAAATATAATGTTAGATTTTGAACAATAAAATTATAATAAATAAATATATAATAAATAAATAAAGTGGGAGCCTTCAAAGTTTATATTATATGGAGAGGGTAAAAGGAACAATTATGCAGAGGGAAAACAGGCGTCTGTTTCTGAACCAATACTCCCGCATACTTCATATTTAACATACAATTATTTTATAATTATAAACTTCATTTACCATAACTCCGAACAAATTTTAATACTTTGTACTCATAATGAAATTCTGATATATATTTTAATATGATTATTCAATTTTTCTTAAGTCTTTGGTATTTGTATATTAATTTTAACAATATTTAACATTCTCCAATTTAATAATTATTTCATTTATATTTCATATAGATATCATTCTCAAAATAATTATAAAATTCTTAAAGTTAAAATTTTTTAACAATAATCTTATTTACAAAATAATTTCAAAATTCTTATGTTGTTAACAAAATAATCCCAAAATTCTTAACATTAATTCAAAAATTTTTGACAAAACTTTATAATTTTCTAATAGCAATAAAATTTTAAAATCTTCCCTGAATAAAAATACTTATCCAGGGTTCGTAGCTGTCCTTACAAGTGTTTATAAGTCCTTATATTTGAAAATAAAATATAAAGGCCCTTATAGGTGCATATTTTTTTTCTAAAGCACTTACTTTTTGCTTTTAGTTTTTTTTTTTTTTTTTTTTTTTTTTTTTTTTTTTTTTTTTTTACGAACGTAAATTTTTTCTTCGTACCAAAGCCGAAACTAAATAAAGGAACTTTTCTTACATATATCGAACGTCAGATGGTGAATCATAATCCCAGAAATAGCTTTCCGCCCCTTTCTCTGCATTAACATAACGTGCATGTCGCTCTATTGGTCAAAGAATTGCGAAAGCAGTAGAAAATTCTGGTACATTCCGTTTTCTTTTGCTCCCACCCAATACTACACATGTTTGAATTTCCATCAAGATTTTAATAATTTACATTCTCGTTTCTCGTGGTGAGTTCATATTCGCGTTTATTATGATCAGTATGCTTATATTATGAACATATGAATGAATATTTATAATATTATATTTGTAGTAACTGCTGAAGTATAACTTCAAAAATGGGTAAGTGTGTTTTAACACAAATTAGTTTTCAAAGTAATAATATTTGGAATAGCAAAAATAAAGTGAAAGTAATTGAATAGTCAAAATAATTTCCCCCCCCCCCAATGCATTATACAGTTGGGGGGTTCTCCCCTTTCTCCGCAAAATCTCAAATATTGAATCCATTACGGTTCGCAGCAAAGCAAGCATCGGAAATTTTTTTTTTTTTTTTTTTTGGTCACTTTCCCATCTGGATTGAATAGGACTAAAAGTTCTGTGGTGTACCAACCCAAGCGAAGAATGATTCTATTCTGGAAATTTAATGCAGTCTGTTCAAAATTAGAATGATAAGCACCCCAGATTGGTAAATCTCTTTATCAATCAATATGACTACGGCAGGGATATCGCGCGGGGCGCGACGTGTCCTGCTCAATGATAAATATGCCACGTGGTCGCATAACGGTGAAAAACGGACAAAGCAAAAGGGCGTTTTCCTTTATTTAGTTATTTATTCTCCGAATACCGGCAGCTGTTAATTCCGATTGCATAATATCACGTGCGCACATATTGAAATGTCAAGAGCATTATTTAGCTGAAAAATCTAAAGAATGGCTACAACCTACCCCCTTTCCACTTTTACCAGACATGCTCGACTATCCGGAATTTTCAGATATTCAGAAATTTCCGAGTATGCCGTTTAGTTAAGCTTTTACTGTTAAAGGATGACTGCATGAAGAAATTTCCCATCTTCTGATTTCAGAAAATCTCCTTTTTTACTTAAATTATTTTGCCTGCAATATCTGTTAAAGGAAAACTGTTATGCAATGAAAATTTAGAAAATGTTCAGAAATGTGATTTAAATTATTTAAATATTAATAAAATTGGAAAAATAAATTGTATTTATTTTAGGTGCCAAGTGAATATAATAAATATGGTTTATTTTATTTATTTTCTCTATTTTGAACAGAAATATTTTGTCATTAAATCTTGTAATATGATTTAGTTCTGCATATTTTTTTTTCTCTTATTGTAAACTAGTTCTGTGAATTGAACTGTTATTTAAAATTTAAAAAAATAATATAATTGTTTTCCATGGTTGAGTAATGGCGCATTCTCTCTTAATTAATACTGAATTTCTCATATTTTAAATTACAAGTCTTATTTTTCTTTTAAGATCATGCAGTTGTGTATAATGTAATTAGACATATGCTTATTTTTTTTCCTAAAATGTGCTTGAAAGTGCTTATAGGTGCTTATTTTTTTTAACTAAAATGTGGCTACGAACCCTGTTATCCATTTTGATCGGATATTTTCGTAACACAGTGCCACTTTTTTTTTTTCTTTTATTTAAAATCATTTTGTAAGAAAACACCACTTTCAGATTTCAAAAATATAACCAATTATTGAGTAATTTATTTATTTATGCAGTTGGAGAAAAACTCAAAACACCTTTTATCACATCATCAAAACACATTTTTAGAATATCGGCACTTAATTTTCTGGCTGGAAAGAACTTTGAATAATAAATTAAGAACCGAAAAAATTAATCACACTTCAATACCGTTTTTGATGACACCGTAAATCATTTCCAAACTTGTTGACGCACTATATTTCAATGTTACAGCGACCTTGGCCTGATTAAGAATTCAGATGAATATATATGTATATGTATAAAAAAATATTGTGCAGAAGATGTCCAGACAATCAAAGTAATATATATGTTTGAACATAAGGAAGTCAGTATACAAATTAGAAGAGTTTTATTGAAATTATAATCAAGAAAATCTCATAGCCTATTGGAGAACTTGTGAGATTTGGGCGACTAACAAGCAACAGATTCAGTGCTAAGATGAATATGAACTCATATTGCAGGCATCTAAGACATCTTTACAAATGCTGATTTTTGGCATTAAGTGTTCTTGTATTTCTTTACAAATTTGTTTCTTTGTTTCACTACAAATTGTTTCCATTCAGTTCTGATGATTCTCTCATAGTCTTGCAATTTTTATTAACAGAACTGTACATTTTGCTTCACTAGTTGAAACTGAAAATATATGTGTATGCATATACAATCTTTTGCAAAAAAATCGAAGCACAATGAAGGAGGTGGTTATTTTTGATGAAACTGAATATGTGTATAGCTCATACACAGATAATAAAATGATTAAAAAATCAAGGTTCCTGTTCACAGCTCACGATCACCCATTGAGTGTTCAAATTAGTAGTTGGTGGAACCGTTCCTGGCGGCAATGCATGCTTGAATTCGTCGAGGCAAGGAGTGTTAGAGGTTCCTAATGTCATTCTGTGACACATTTTGCCAGGCATTCATCAGTTGTCGATATTTTGTGGTGTCCGAATCTGGCGGCCTATTATGCCCCAGACATACTCGTTGGTGAAATGTCTGGTGACCTTGCTGGCCAAGAAAGAGTATCAGACGCGCGGAGACAGTCCAGAGATGTGTGAGCAGTATGTGGCCTGGCATTATCTTGTTGGAAAATGGCCCCAGAATAGCGTGCCATGAAGGGTAATTCAACCAGCCGCAGGATGGTATCAACATATCGTTGAGCTGTTAACCCGTTCACGATGGGCATCTCTGTTACCAAAGCGTTGTCTTGGGACGGCGTGTTAAACCGGATGTGTCATCTTGTGGAGATGCGACAATTCGCGCATGCTAAGCCTAACTCTGGAAAAAAATTTCGTATAAATTCAATTTTTCATCCAATTGTTCCAATTTTTGGTACATTATGAGAAGAATATTCAGGTAGCTGTCAGAATTAATTGTAAAGCTTTATTATTATATTTTCCAGAAAAATTGTATAAAATACTCATTCTAGAATAATATAACACAAACAAATACATATGGAAAAATATCCAAACAATCACAGATTTTATTTAACACATCGCACAATTAAAATTAAAAAATATTAAAAC